GCAAAATAACCGCATGCGTTGCATTCGAGGAAGCCCGGTAACTATCTAAACTATAACCTTCTGTACGCCAGCCTCTGTGCGCGGGGAGGGGGGGGGGGGTTGTCGGATGGTATCTAGTGTAAATTTCCAGTGAAGTTACAGTAACAGTTTGCAATTGATTGATGATCGTTCAAATCCAGCGTGATTTCAATTTAAGGGTGGTCGAGGCTAACATAATTTGGGGACAGGAATTTAATTTTTTTTAAATTCGAGATGGCCGGGAAATCTATTTTGATTTTTATCTAAGTTTTTTTTTTCTAACATTTTTTCATCACTTTCAAATTTACAAGAAAACAGAGGAACAAAACAGAGGAAAGCTTATTAAATAATATGCTGGACATCTTGGGTGATGTTAAATTTTATTAATAATTAATTTACAACTTTTTTTTATTATTATATCATGTATATGCATAAGTTTCACTAATGTGTTTACAGCAACATTCTGATAATGTGAGTAAATAAAGTGAACAATTTGAAATCACCCGTGACAGCAGTGAAGTTCTAATAATACTTATAGCAATAGACCATTTTCCGTTCACTGCGAGAATCACGCGTTATGCGTGAAATCGAACGTAAAAACAGGACAAACAAAGGTCATAGCGTCGTAGTCGCGTCAAACATCGCGTGGGATTCGACAAACGCGAAAGTATTTTGGGGGACATTTCCATGCTTAATAATGTGCTGTCCACATTTGATGATAGGCAATTTCGATTAAATAAGGGTATTCGGAAGCAATATTCCTCTGTCGAAGATCGGCCGGTCGATGTGAGCTACGAAATAAAGAAATTCGAGTTGAAAATCAAATTGTTCGATTTTTGCGGCAGACGTTGGACGCTCGTCTTTCATGCATCTCGCGAGATCTCGCAATTGTACGGAAAATCACATATCCTCGGGGGCGGAGCTACGTCACAGACGTTCCACGTTGCTAAGACGAGCACCACTGTACCATGCATTTCTATGGGCTCTGTGCGCGCTGCTGTGGAACGCCGGTCGAGCCGGTGAAAATTCGAGAAAACAACACAAACTCAACTTTGAAGTAATTCCGAACAACCAAATTTATATATGTTACACACGTAGGGCTAATCTTGTTGCACTGTTCAGAGGAGTCTCAACAATCATCCAAAAGTACCGTTTTCTGCGAGTTTTGGGCCTTTGTTTTCACCGCCGCGGGTTGCCAGGCGGTGAAAATGCCCGGATGTCCGCCCCCGAGGATTGCATGTGTATGCTACATCTCACTGCATTCACCACATAAAATTGATTTTATAAGAAATAACTAGTTTATCCCACAGTGAAGAAAGCTTAAGTATCATCCAAAGTATTAACTATTCTGATAACAAGTTTAGGATTCACCCTTATGATATTTTTAACAAATACACGATTAAAAGATCTAACTAACACCACAGACTGGGAAGATAACTCAAAATTGAAATGTTCTACTGATAGTTACACATATGCATAAATCTTTTTTTTTTTTTTTTTTTTTGAATTAAAAAAGTTTGCGCGGGGTGCAAGATCTGCTCACCAACATTGCGCCGAAGGCTACTACATTATTTTGAGGGGCAAATTTTGATGACTCGACACAACGGGTTTCAGCTTGATTTTGGAGGGGCGACACCCCCTCCCCAACATTTTTTTTTTGAGGGGGCGAGTGTCTCTGCGATAATAAAACAAAATTTAGTCGAATATCACTGGCATGCACCGAGTATCTCCGCGGATTAGGCTATGAATTAGATTTTGTGCATTTTTGTTCAAGTTACTCGTGATTCTACTGCGTCCATGTGAACTTCGAACACTATGTACTTCCTATATGAATTGACGATTTCCGAGTTT